TTTCTAACACTCGCTATGTATTTACTTTGTATTTTCTACTTTCACTTCCCTGAGCTCATTTCATTTTTATTCTCATTCGTATATTAAGATAAGTAAGTTAATAAAGAAAACTAGAAAAGACGAAATAGCTAAGGCAATTGCTTTTGGACGAATCATTTTCAAGAGCCCTACAGTTGTATTTATATTTAACAAAGAATTCATAAGATCAGTTATATGCTGGTAACTGTGTTCTAGAAAATATATTACGTAATGGGAAGTTTAATGTAGAAATGAATGACTCATTTCATTTTATTGTTATTATTATTACTATCATTACTATTGTTTAGTAAGAACACGGCCTTTCTCATTCAGATTTTATATAAACAAACCCTCCATTAGCCTCTGTCCATTTGTATTTTTTTATTGATTAGTCATTTTTCACACTTGTTGCGCAATTCCAAATTCTGTCTCTTTTTTCTGGTCGCTACTTAGTCATCCTCCTCTAGATTACACTTCACCTTACATAATACACTTCCTAGGCCATAGTTGCCAGTATGTGATTGGTTTTATAAATTTTTTGTATAAATAGAAATGTTGATAAGGGTTACGTAATAGGAAAGACACTCGAAGAAATGGGATGCTAATGGAAGAGCATGGAGATAAGTGTCCAAAACAAATAAATTATGTAATAGGTGGGGAGAGTAAATATTCATGTCTGATGAATAGGTATTTTCCGTGAATTGAAAATTAGCAATGACCCTTTGACAGTGAAGGAACTTAATGGGTTTCTGCGCTATTCTGTCAAGCTTATTGAAGTCATTGCGAAGATCGGTTTTCTCAGAGATTGTATAAGTAACCATTGGATATCCGAAGTGGTATTGGAGAACTCTTCGTCGCAGTTATATTTATCCTAACTCCAAATCCCTTAAACGTCACACTTTGAACCACATCGATTCCATTCTTTCACGTGTCCCAGAACTGGAGAGAAACATAGCACAACCATCATTTGCGTTTTGTGAATTGTTAAGTGATGAACGCCAAGCTTTCACTGAGTATATGAGAATGGTTAAGGAGAGGCACACAAAAGCTGTCCATTCAGACCTATTAAGTAGCCTAAAAGCCACTGAAATACGATGTGAATTTCCGAAAGATTCTGCTAAATTTGTGTCCAGTCACTCTTCAGTAACTTTATCTCCTAAGCAACTGGAGGCGTTATCTGTCGGGTCAAAATTCTGTGACATAAACCAAAACATTAGCAAGCTGCATACATAAGTTGAGTGTGAAAATTTGATCAATCAGATTGGTGATCTGTTTCCAATCTCTGAAGAGGAGTTCAAACGTTTTAAGTCAACAGTTCTAGACACTCATGCCATTACTGCCTTAATGCAAAGTCCAACTGACTAAAGAATACAGAACACCTCAATCAACTGAGACGTAATAAGGAATTGCTGATCACATGCCCTGATAAGGGTACTGGCCTACTCCTGATGGATAGAAAAGACCACATTGATAAAATGCTAACAATTCTTTCAGACAACAACGTGTTCGCTGCACCTGACAAAGAGAAAGACAAAACGGAAATAACTGAAATGCAACTCACTGGGATATTGAGAAAGCTAAAAAGTGGTCAACTTATCTTTGAAAATGTCTACGAGAGCATTCAATCAACCAGTTCAACAATACCCCAACTATGTGGATCACGAAAAACTCACAAACAGTGACGTCCGTTGCGCCGTATTTTGGACATGTCAAGATCTCAATACCATTCAACTGCAAAATGGCTGGCAGGACTCCTACAGTCTGTTAGAGAATGAAATTTTAAAATACTCTCTTCGAGACACGTTTGAATTCATCGACTGTATGAAAGATGTAAAGTGGGCGACAACCGCATGATATATCACTCTATGTCGAATCTCTCTTCACAGATGTCCCGATTACAGAGACGATTTGTTTCGTATGCAAGTAATTGGAAAACAACGACTTGAATATCGGAATACCTACAACCAAGTTAAAAGAACTTCTACTTAGATGCACTTTGAACGTTCAATTCACATTCAATGGTACTATTTATAGACAGCAATTTGGTGTGGTTATGGGTTCACCTTTAGGCCCGTCACTTGCAGATAATTTCATGGCAAGTTTAGAAAATGGTCCGTTGAAATCGACAACTTCTCTCGATACAAAAGGTACGTTGATAACACTTTTATCAAATGTGATTTGAAGAATGTCCTTCAGGTTTTTAATAGCTGCCACCCAACCATCAAATTTACAATTGATGTAAAAACCGGAGAGACAATCTCATTTCTAGACGACCAACTGACAAGGAAGACTGATGGAACCCTAAAGAGATCAATATATCGAAAGTCTATGTGGAACGACCAGCTGACAAACTTTTACAGTTGAGTAGCCATCAATCGCAAGCAAAACGTGATAATGTCTCTTGCGACTAGAATCTGCAGTCCTGAATCAGTAGAAGAAGAGACCACCCTTTTGAGTGAAACACTACTTGAGAATGGCTATCCACCACGCTTTACAGATAAAAACATAAAGCCGAAAATCAACAAAGAACAACCCATCTCTGTGCCAAAGAAGCTGCTATACATGAATGTGGCGTTCAAAGGTAACTTTCTGATCGACATCCTAAATAGGAGAATATCTAACGCCCTGAAAAGAACATTCTCTGCTGCTAAATTACGATTGGTATTTCATGCGGCCCGTTGTTCTTCAACAACTCTAAAGATAAATGATCGCATTTGACCACTTCTATGTGTATATTACCAATTTACTTGCTCTTATGGAGCAAGATATAAAGGTCGTTTGATGCGTGTTTCATCTAAAAGAGTCAAAGGACATTGTCCCTCTTTGCTACGAAAAGGTAAGAGTGGATGAATTAGGAGTGCTATGATTGGACATCTATTCAACACAGATCACTTAATATGCAAGGAGAATTCATCCAAAGACATCTAAAAAGTCAAAAGAAGCCTCCTGAAAACGGTAAGCTTCCGTCTACTTTGCATTGCCGAGGCTTTAGCGATCCGGATGGAAAACCCTGATATATGTCACAGAAGAAACTTCTACCTTGAGTCCAATTTCAAGTTCTACTGTAACAACAGAAGGCCAGACACGGAAACCAAAGTATATTTTCCAATAATCGAACTGTTGTTTAGATATATACAGTTTAAATTCGTTAAACAATCACTGAGCGTGTGATTTTGGTTTACATTAAACGACATGAAATAGAATGTTCAAATACACATAGTATTATGTTGCTAATGCCGTATTGAACTGTGGGAATGTGTGAGAATCATATTCCTTTGGAACATATTGTCTGTATCACACCACCACACTACTACTTTGTTAATAATGTTTTTAAAAATTTTTGTATGAAATTTTAGTAGCACCTTTTTCTTAACTAACCCTTTGATTACTCTCTCTACCTATTACGTAATATTTTGGACACCTGTCTCTATGCTCTTTCATTAACATTCTATTTCTCTCAGTGCATACCGTATTACGTAACCCTTATCAATGCTTACTAATCCTCAGCCCCCCTAGTTACAATTTGATTATTCATTACATTTTCGAGGTGTAAAAATGATTCCACAGTTCTTGTAAGTGGTTCGTCAGAAAAATTTTCTTCATTACAATGTATTCTTTTGTTGATGACTCAATATGGGAATTTCCCCTTGGTAGATGCGTAGTCCTATGCAGATTTTAAGAAGGGAACTAGTTTCCGATAGAAACAATAGATCTTTCTTCATTGTTGAATGATGTAAATACTGTCAGATTGAGACGCACAGTTTTCTAAATGACTTTTCTATTGAGCATGGCAGCCACCATGATAACTTCAAGTTCTTTTGCTAAGTTTTGGCCAACTTAGTTATAAACTGATCATCTGGTTTTAGCATTATTTATGCTATCATATGTAGTAATTTCTTTATACATTTATAAAAGGTTGGTAGTCTACTAAAAAGAAATATATCCTAATCCAATGAAACCTTTCAATTATTATTCTTTGTAATATATGAAACAAAGGAAAGATGTTTATTGAATAAAGGTAGATATAAGTGACATCTGTAATACAGTTGGGTTAGATAATTTCTGAGTGTCGGTAGCACAACAGTTTAGACGCTCGCCGACCATGCACATGGTCCGGGGTTCGATCCCCGGCCGCCGACGCGCTCCTTTACCTGTCTAAGCCAGAAATAATGCTGGTAAAGAGGAAAGGTTGGGCATGAGGCCAGCAAACCCCATCCTGTAAAAATCAACATCACTGCTGCAGAAACTTCAAGCCACTAGCTTGAAGCTCTATGTTCCACTGGGGAACGTGAAGGAAAAAAAAGAGATAATTTCTAGTCCATACCATGTATCATTCGTCTTATCTGTGCTAAGTTTCCCTCCTTTTCTCTACCTTTGTGTGCCACATGTTCAAAATTCTATATTGAAATCAGTCAGTCGGTGTTAAGTATTTAATACGATAAGAATCTGTACACTTCTGAAAATTTTCATAGTAGTATTGCAAGGATTTTTTTAAAGTTTTACTTTCAGAATACAGGTTTAGTTTACGTAAATTGCAATTTTATTATATTTGATTTAGTTGAACTGCCATCAGCATCACACAATGATCTTCGACCACAAGATTGGCGTCAAGCTTTGATAGATCAAGTGCACCATTGTGAGCCTATGTACTTGTATATTTATGCATCAAAAGAAGATCAAGCTTCCAGTTGTTTTAATCAACTTCATTCAGTATGCGAATCACTGTTAGAAAATTCGTTAGCTAGTGTTTTTGTTCAACGAGATGCTTTCAAGCAGCGAAGTTCTCTTAATTCTGCTCTTCAAGATTGTACGCTATCCTTGTCATCGAAATCATTATCTAAGCGATCCAGTTTACAAGAAGCCTGTCCACCAGCAACTAATCTCAGTCCCAGTATTAAGGATACTAATCGAAGGGAGTTGTCAGATTTACAATCTCCGAAGATAAAATTGATTCCTTCCAATACTTTGGTATTTCCATCTTGTGTTCACGGATGTTCAACAGAAGGTAATTTTCTTTGGTTTGTTTGACCTACTACTGATTACCTTTCTTCTTCGATATTTTGTTAGAAGAATTCACATCCTTTCAAACACATTTGGGCGTATTTCACCTACTGACGTAAATTAAAATGTTTGTAGGGTAATTATTTTTGTAAGTGAACACTCCAAAGTTTAGTGAAAAGTGTTAACTTTCTAAGGCCAGTCGCTTTCGTTCACGTTTATCTTATATTAGGCTTATAAAATGCGTCTTATCATGACGAGACACCTTCTAGTCCTAGTGTGGTGAGAGCTCTCTGCTAGCCGAAATTGGTAGACAGCAATTTACGTCAATGTTTACGACCTAAATCGGGGTCATGAGAAAAAACAAGAACAAAGCCTAACCTTGAGGAACTCAACAACCAATCACAGTAGACTTAGCGTGGGCGGATACGATTCGCAGATATATATCACCGGATTGTCCAAGAAACGGCAACAAAGAGATGATAGAATAACCTTCAGCAGGAAAAAAAACAATCAGAAGATGTTATTTTTGTGCTAACAATAATGAATAATAATGTACATAAAAATCTATAAACGATCTGTTGGCTGGCCCTTGTCTTCTGTCGTTACACTGATAGTTTTGAACTTGCATGACCTTGATCAGCCAATTTGATTATCATACTAGTTACTCATCTGGCTTTCACAGATGTGTCATCAATTGCATTTCACACTGATTACAGTTTTATTATTCTTGGTTAGAGTTTTTGATATCTAAAAGAAGAATGATAATTAGAAAAGCAACGATTTATTCGGCTTTATGTTGGCGTTTAGCTTTACGCCGTCTTTTGTGGAAATGTTAATGAGCAGCACATGTAATGGTAGGAATTCACTGAACAATACATTTTCTTGTTGATTAGAGTTTAGTCAGCACTTACTCGTGTATCTCTTAGCTAAGCAATCCACATAAATGCTAAAACACTGTTGTATGTGAAACAAAGCTGTAAATAAAGTTGAGAATTTGTGCAAAGAATTATTCGGGATCATTTGTTACGTTTAGCTTTTTCGGTATATACAAGGCCGCTGTTGACTGTACTTAGGTGTGGATACAGATGACATAAAGCGATTGGATTGATTAATAAACTTAAGAACACTAGACAGCTTTCGGCGGTACCATTAAACTGGTGAATGCCCACCAATGGTCCTCTTTGTCACCTTGCCGGCAAGTAAGTCGTCGTAGAGCCGTGTATTGTTTTGAGTTGGCACTCCTCTTAACAAGAGGAAGCAGGAATACAGCGTTATGAGTGTCAACCACGAAGAGACGTAGAAGTGATTGAGTAAATCAAGGTTAGATTCAATACTGGAATTCTCAAAGATTGATGAGTATTTAGCGCTAATCTAATCATCATTTATTTCCATATAACAGTTATAATAACGTCTCATTTCTTGTCTTGCTTCCAGCTTATTTTTCAGTAAGTTTAGTAGAACAAACAAGCAACTTTCCGATTCCATCCAGTAGTAGTGATTCTCCTTCATTATGGAAAGTGTTTTGGTCAGCCAATCCTGTGACAGATGTACAAGTTAAACGGCCTACTGTGCATTCTTCATGTTCAGTAAGCAAAAGGCTGACTTTGGGACGGGATGTATTTCAGTTGATGCATACAAAAACTGATTCACTCAGAAATAATTGTCAGTCGACCGATAAATTTGCTATCCTGTCATCTGATCCTAAGAAAGCTGGACATGGTCAATTGATTATACCCTTTCTTTTTAAACCTGTTTCATCACATGAAAATACAATGTTTCAAGATTGGCACCTTAATTTTTGGATAGAACCATACTCACAAAATAAATCTCGCCATGAAGTACAATATAACCCAAAAGACTCGGTTACACTTTTAGTCACTTTAGAAGGTTCGGTAAGTATGATTTTGTGTGCAAGTTTTTCCTCCTTTGTTTTCAGAAGTTTGTCCAGATTAAAGCTGTTTTAGTGGAGATTGATTTCGAGAATAGGAAATCGAGTGGTGGTGATGCTTTGATATTGTTAATTATTTCAACGTGTGTTGACTGTACAATAAAGCTAAAGATTGTATGTAACTCTAGGTAAAGCTTTAAAATATCCAGTATACGATGTCATGTACATATTTGGAATGGAAATATGTGTAGGATAAAAGAATACAGATGTTTCTAATGTGTTGGCGTCGGTGGCACAGCGGTTAGGACGCTCGCCAACCATGCACATGGCCCGGGGTTCGATCCCCGGCTTACACACTCCTTTACCTGTCTAAGCCAGAAATAAAGCTGGTAAAAAGGAAAGGTTGGGCATCCTGTATAAATAGAAACTGCTACAGAAACTTCAAGCCACTAGCTTGAAGCTCTTGTTCCACTGGGGAACGTGAAGGAATAAAATAAAAAATAAATAAATAAAAAATAATGTGTTGGCATTGAAACTTAATTTCTATTTTTAAACTGTTTGGTCTGGGCATACCGTCACCTGTTTTTTTATCGATGAAATACTCATTTGCCCTTTTATAATTTGTATCTGTTGTTACGGCGTCTACTTAACCAGCCCTTTTGGTTTTCGACAAAACTGAATTAATCAGTTGTTGGTTCGACAAATCTTCACTGCGTGTAATACTTAACTTAATTCCCATTCATCCTCTCTTTTAGTGCTGCAAACAACCTACGCTAAATAAAAGATCTCCATGCGCTCATCTACAAAACACGTGTAAGAGCAAACTTGAAGTGTCCTCCTCTTCACTGTCCAAAGATCTCACATTCAATGATCGTAATGTGTCGTTGTCGAGAGGAAGTGCTGCAAAATCTGTTCCTTTAGGTCTACTTGATATTGTCGGTCTGCCGGTTAAATTTGAGATCATAGATTCAAAGTCTACAACAACCAAAACTCATTTCCACAATGTAAGCAGTTTTTTTTAAATTTTCGTTCAACTCTGCATACCACTTTATGTTTAGCATTAATGTTGGCTTGTTTTTTCTAAACAGATATATTTCACTGTGTGAGTCACTGTCATCCTTTCTGCTTCATTGCTAGATTATGCTGATCAATCGCTTGAAGACAGCAGAGGTTTTCGTCAAACTTCAACTTCCAAATCCACCTTTTTATATGACAGAACCAAAAGAAACGAGGTTTCGTATAGCGTGAGTATCACTGAATTAATTTTAACAAAATTCCACATGTTTTATTCACACTAACTAACTAGATTATCAATACAGAACTCTACAGAACAGTGTATCAGCTTAGGTTGCCACATTTCGGAGTAGCACTAAAAAGTAAAAAATAAAACAAATGTAATTAAACTATGGAAGACGAATTTTTACGGGAAGGAGTAATTAGATGACGACCAATGAAGATTTTCGTAATCTTGATAATACATTTGCGTCATTACGAGCGATTTTAAACCGATCACTGATTTTTAGTATTGCGAAGATCTCAGTACTCGAAGTCCAACGTTCTCATTTGGTTATCTCTGGATTTCTCAGCCTAGTCGTCGTACTTCAGCTAACTTTGTTAGTCGAGAAAAGCTGTGGTCCGGTATGCGTAAAACTTACTAGCCCTTGTATTCGATAGCGTTTGACTGACTTCCTCTCATTACGCTTAATTAATTATCATGTTATTCTACATAACCCAAAGGTACTGGTGGTCAGATACCGCTAGTCTTTTATTAACCTCTATTTTCAACTGCATGTCTCACAGATATGGAGTAAAACCTAGCAAACTTCTGATCTTTGCTTGTTCTCTTACGGAAGTATCCAGATGGGCAGTAGGAAAATTACTTTTCATTGAAATTCACTCAAGCAAATGAGTTCCGTAATCGCTAGTATGTGCTACACCAGCAAAGGCGCGAGGATTATCTCGTCCGATGGATTTTCTTTTGATCTTGGATTGATAAGGTGAGAGGATAACTGTACCTATCTATGGTCTATAAAGGTACAGTATACACTCAAACTCTGAATTTTGTTTAATAAGACCCAGGAATGATGTTAATCTGACTCCAAGCTCTAGACAAAGAGAAACGGTAAAGAGACTGTCTGGTGAGTAGTATTAGTCAGACTAGTACCTTAAGCTGGTGGGAGATCTATATGGAGATGCATATACCATGGTAGGTTGGTTATGCCTTCTAGTATCTGATAAATATATTAGTTATTTACAGGATCACCAGTTTTACTCAACTTCCCCATCACTGTTTTGAAATGTGCTCAGATACTGCAAACTACTTTACATGTATGTAAATTAAATTTTTTTAAACTCTCTTTCGGAAAATTTAGGCCTCGTTCTCGTGTAAAGCTAGTGCTTAGCTTTCAACCTTACGATTTGGGACGTGCAAGTTCAGTTTTGGGAATTCGTGTTGAGTGCCGCAACCAAACAGAAGCCGACAAACCAACTGTTGATACATTTCAAATTCACTTATTTGGCACAATGAACTAACTTTGCTTTCTTATATTTCGCACCTACATGTATATTTCTATTGTGATCTTTTACTAAATAGCATATGAATTAATACACTATTATCTCCTGTGGCTACATAACTTATTCTCTCATTGTGAGGGACAAACCACACACACTATTTGAATTTAAAAATCCGCAAATTTTAGAAATAAATGTAAGATCATATAGAAAAACGATTGCAAGCTGTACGTATCTGTAAGACAGGTTGATGGTTGACAAGATCAGTAGATTAGGTCAGAAGATCGACGGTCCTAAAAATCCATCAACAATTGAAGTTAGAGCATGGTCATCTGAACCAACCTGTTGATTAGTACACGTGTCGCGAAGTCCTTAATTATTTATTTCCATTATTCCGCAAGCATACACAAAAAAGCCTCGCGCATTCCGGAACCACTAAAAGTAATTAAAATGTATTGACTAGTGCAAGTCGCTACACTTTTCAGCAAATATTTTAAGAGAAGCTGAACTACGTAGTAGGACGAAAAACAAAGCTGGTGATAGATAGATTACTTAAGAATACTAAAATTCTCGAAATATGAGTACTGGTTGCTTTTATGAACCTGATATAGCTACTGAACCTTGTCCATATGTCAAGAATACTGATTCTAGGCAGCTAGAACGTTTTAAACCGATCTGAATCGAGCTGTTGGTACGCTGCCACTTGGCATAACCGTATAAATTTATTTAGAATAGGAACACGTGAATAGAAAAATAGTTTTTATTATTTACACCTTCATATCACTCAGATGTAGTAAAAATTCTCCCTTTATCACGAGCTTTACGAATTTTTTTCGAAAGCTTCTTTGTCCTTCTTGCTTGGATATTTGCTGTTCTTTTCATTTGTTTCTCACGCATCTTTTGCTCAGTGGCTTCTGTGCGTTTTTTCCAATTTTTAGCACTTTTCCTCTTGAGTTTTTGTACTTTTTTAGCTGATTTTTTAAGCAGTGATATGTCATCTTTAACCTTCACACCTCGAATAATAACAGACTAGTTACAGTGAATTTGTCTTACCTTGAGCTTTAAGGGATGCGATCCTCCACTTCTTGCGTATCAAATCGTTGGATGTTATATCTGAGTTACTGGAAGTTGATTCGGAGATCTTGGTAGCTTTTTTCAACAAATTTATAGGGTCTTTGCCTATAAATATTCCTTCTCTCTCGAGTTTTGCCAGTTTTCTCCTCTTCTTTCGTTGGAATTGTTTTTGTATTCCATAGTTTGTAATTTCATTTGGATCATAAAGTTCGATTTTAGAGAAATAGTATTTCTCAGAATCCATCTTATGACTTTACACACATATAGACAGATAATATGAGTATTATACTATCTAGATAACCTATGAATGAAAAAAAACAGCGTAATGGATAAGTTAGAAAATGACAAAATAGAGCAACTCTGAATTTATTTCATTTTGCATTTACCAACACTAAGAAAAAGTGGTGTCCACTCATACATATTTTTTCTTTGGCTATTTGTTCAGTATTCCGTCAGTCACATCCTGTCCGTATTTTCTAACCAGTTTACACTAAATGACAGAAAAAAGCGTAGCCGAGTATACACTTAAAGCACTACGTGTTTTTTTCTTTTCGTTCAGCAGTATAGAAGCAGAACTCACTTATTATTTGAAGTATGGTACAGTTTATTTATGTACAATACACGTACACTGTATGTCCATGTTAAGAAGACTGAAATGAAATAAGGTGAATGTAGTTTTGTAACGGTATTGATGTAAGCCGCCTATAAGCTACTTGACCACGACTATGTAATATGCAGAGCCGTTACAACTGTCCCATACTCTGCTGAACAATAAGTTCTAGTAGTTCTTAAGACTTAAAAATATACTCTAATTACTCAGTACAAAAAGATGAATAAGATCAATTACTAATGGCACTGCACTACAAAAGTCTGACCTCACTGCAGTAATGGAAAGTATAACTAGATATTAAAGTGCTTTCAATAATGCAAGCTGTTAGCATTGTATAGCTACTGTTGATTGACTTACAAATAAAATAATGAGTAGGACACTTGAACTAATAGTTCATTTGGCTTTAGTTGCAGACCGAATGAATGACAACCTTAAGGCTTTCGATACTTCAGAGTATTGACAAAGTCATAGGTAATTAGGAATAAAAGAGAACAATGAGACCTGGTGGCTTGACTTCAAAAATGCTTAGTGATAGTGAACGTAAAGTAGTGGTTTAAAAACTGGTTGAAACTGCAGTTAATGCCCAGGAATCAAGCATCATTTCATCTGACTGGCTTTGCTAAATAATTGCCTTCGAATTCAGAGAAAAGAAAAGTCTAGGCTGGATAATTCAGCAGTCATTCATAAGGGTAGTCTGCATTTTTATTCAAATAAGACATGGATATGCTCGTGATGGCATCTATTTTTGTTCGCTGAGGTTCAGTTCATGACTATTAACTCTGTGATCAAAGAAAACCACATGTTCTTGTTAGGTAAATAAACTAAAGGTCTGGAGTACTTACGTTACCAACATAAACTGTCAATATTCAGAAGGATTTGAGATATCACACTTAGAAAAAAAACCGACCACAGCACTCTTGTGGTTGACGAAGTCTCCGTAGTATTGAAAAGTAAAATAACTCAGTTATGCCAATCACTGAATCTTTGTTTATGTAAACAAGGATGATTATGAGCAGTAATTACTGCTCATAAGCATATCATTCTAGTCACATGGCTTCACAATTGGTCTTATATATATTTTCCTCTTTCTCTCTCTCCGCCTTGTTGTTCGTTTCTATTTTCCGTATCCCCTGTATAGGCATTGCGTCATTTCGATCGCACGTGTGCGGTGTTGAATCGAACCCAAGGTTACTATAATGTTAAATTAACTCTCGCTAATTCTGAATTAACTCTCGGTCGGTCGGTATTCGACATAGAACTTTGCACATATGTGCGGCAGTTCAAGTCGCCACCCTCCCTCCATGTAGCACATAATGCAAGAGAAGAAAGTAGGAGAAATGCAAAATAGAGACAGTAAACAGAGGTGTGAGACAAAGGAATAGTAATAACGTAGAACAAAACAGTTTAATTGGAAATCATAAGTCACAAGGAGTGGATGCATCTGCGCCATCACTGAGAAAGATTTTGAGCCATGTCACCAATTGGTTCCAACCATTGGTTTTTACCGTCCCGAGGACGCCAACCAGTCAGGAAGTCTACATCTTCCTACGTGGCTTAAGCTAACTGTTGTGGGTTTCATTGACTGGTGCCATGTTTTCGTTTGACCGTCACTAGCTCTTTTCCAGTCTGGCCCTATATCAGCTAACATTGCCCGTCGAGGAAGGCGATGACTAGGCATACGTAGCACATGTCCTAACCATCTCAGTCGATGTAATTTCACAGTTTCGTTGACTGATTTACCCGCCTTACCTAGCACTCGACTGAGCCTAACCTCAATATTGCTCACCTTATTATACCACTTCACATGGGAGATAGAACGTAGACATCTATGATCGAAGACATCTAATCTTTTCATGTCTTCCACTCTCAATGGCCAGGTCTCACAGCCATAAAGGAGGACGGAGCGGACTGTTGAGCAGTACACACGCCCTTTGGTCGATAGTCGGATATCGCGTCTACGGCAGAGACGGTGTAAACTGGCATATGCGAACCTAGCCCTCTGTATTCGTGCTGAGATTTCGTCGGAGGTGAACCCGTTGGGGCTGATGGTACTTCCCAAGTAAGTGAAGCGGTCAACGTGCTCTACCACTTCACTTCCTATTTCTAATCTAGGGGTCGGTGAAGTCCAATCCTGCAACATCATCCTACATTTTACAGGGGCGAATCGCATGCCAAACATACGAAGATTGTTGCTCAAGGTGTTCAGTAGACTCTGCATTTTGTCAGTGTCCTCGCCTAGAAGGACTATATCGTCCGCATATTCTAAGTCAACGAGATTATTCCCTGGTAGCAAGTCAATCCCTGAGTCGCTGAAGTGTGTTAGGGTTAAGTCCATTAGTACGTCTATGATGAAGTTGAATAGGAATGGGGATAATGGGCATCCTTGACGGACGCCACTAGTCGTTACCACTTCAGATGACAACTCGCCATAAGCCCTCACCTGGCTGCATGAGTACGAGTAGAGTGCCTTAATCAGTGCAATGTATTTTCTCGGCATTCCCTTTACAGCCAAGCATCGCCAGAGAACCTTCCGGTCGACAGAATCAAATGCCGCCTTTAGGTTAAGAAATATAGTGATTGTCGGATTTGTGCAGCTTTCGCTCCTCATTGAATTAACTCTAACATTCTATAATGAGTGAATTATGAAATGTATCGATTATGCGCAGAAACTACAATTCAGTGCTGGTTTTCAGCATGACTGGCACTAATGTAGCACCCTGTGCTTTTTCTAGGCATTTTCAGAAGTAGCTACTGGGTTTATTAGCGACTGCTGTTTCACCAGTGTTACACAGTAATATTAACTGATGACGTTTCGAGCACAAATTATTGCTCATAATCATATCAAGTGACTCACACCACTTTTTCCTTCATTTATATACAAGTGTGGAATTGACTAGATATTTGAATAAAAATCAAAATGAGATAATGTACATTCAGAGATGCAAATACCAGAAATATGGAAAATATTATTACCACCAGTCAAATCAGAAGAGGATAATAAATAATCTCAAAATTCTATTTCAATTCAAGCAAATCACAACATTCTAACAAGTTACTTATTATAACTATAAGAACATTCGTCTTATTTCCCATCTAATTGTATTTGATCAATAACACTCATATTATTATCTCTGAATGTACATTATCTCATTTTGATTTTTATTCAAATATCTAGTCAATTCCACACTTATATAAATGAAGGAAAAAGTGGTGTGAGTAACTTGATATGATTATGAGCAATAATTTGTGCTCGAAATGTGATCGGTTAATATTACTGTGTAACACTGTGATTTATCAAAATAAAATCTTATCCATAATGGAGTTACACTCTACCACAGTGCCCAAGTTTTATACATATATCACTGTTGTTTCAGCCCAGATTCTGCATTGACTGGAATTACTTCAGAACAAAAAGACTTAGTTCAGCTCATAGTGGCAATTTTTCAGCTTCATTTCAGTACTTAAGACATTGTTTCAGCTGCAAATTCTATTTCTAAGGTTTCGTCGCATTAATGAAGAGTCCAGTGCTCTTTTATAGAACGACCTGTGTTACTTCAGTACATAGTGGGTTTATTTTAGGTGGATAAAATATTCATTTATCATAAAAGGACATTATCGACGCGTAGGTTAATATTACTTTACAATTAGAAGCGATAAAGTTAAACTATCATAGCCAAAACCACAATGACCTGCGGCAACCAATCAGAATTCACATGCAAAGAAATCACATAATCGTCACAAAATACTGCAAACTTGATATTACACTATATAGTTGTGACATGTGTTGTAAGAATGTCTCCAAGTAACAACACATATGATCTATGGAGAAACCGTACCATGCGCCAAATATCCATTCATCTAGGTGACTTTAGGTCATGATATTTTGAGATCCATTAATATTTCTGACACTATTCCCCAACCAACACATAACTCCAACTATAATCCTAATTCTGACTTTAACCCTAGACCCTACACTTTGATATTTAACGCCACAACCCTGCCTAACAGTATAGATTTGCAGAAACAGTACCTTGTAAATTGGGAGAATACTGTATCTATCCTCTCTAAGTTCACAAAGGCAGGTGCGATTCCAACAGGAATATTTCATATCGTTACTTATGTCAGATAACTTTTTGACGGTCAACTTTAGAAAAACCTTGACTTTGGCTATGATAATTTAATTAATTTTAAGCTTGGGCGTTCATACTCGAAACGCAATCCACTTAATAATACTGCACAACCGTGAGGTATGTGAAAGAAACTTGTCGAATATAGAATTATATTCTACCATATATAGTGCCTATGTTCTACACTTACATCATATATTATTATATTCCTTAACGACGTTAGTGAGCAGTTTCAGCTGCTTATTCACTCGTTGAAGAATTTATATTCACAAAAAATTGTCAACGACAACGTCTCTAAGCTCTCCTAAAATCAACTTTACGAAATGCTATATGACTACCGTTGGGGCCAACGACCTTGAATTAACTTTCCCTCCTAAGGGATGCGGTGAGTAATGTCCAACTTCCAATATACGTTTTCATACATAAAGAACTTTTATGAAACTGTTAATTCCTAGGATAAACTCAGCTGGAAAAATATGTCACGTTGGGTTGAAATTTCGCCTGGATAAATTTTTTTGGCAATAAGTTTTAATAAAATTGTGTTTTAAGTTATCTGGATTGATGTGAATTCTCAATTCCTGACTAGTTATGTTGGTGTACACGTCATGTGATCTGACTGCGACACACTCCTAACGTATTCGTCGCAATGATTAGTGTGTCAGCATACTTTGTCAAAATATCGTTGTAATGAGGAATTTGGGATAGTTTGAGAGTAATGTCATCTTCACCAATCGTTTACTCAACGAGAAGCTGCACCTTTCGGCACAGTACCATTCAGTGAAGACTTCACGTCTTAGGATATCAATGCGGCCTATTTTCGTGCGAAGAACAATACTATTTGACGAAAGAATGCTTTCAGTACATGGAAATCACCTATAAATGCTAACAGAACCTTCTGTAGGTACCTAACTTATTATGTAGATGTGTCTTTCACCTTATCTGTGTTCGGATAGGAACTATCGTAATTTGAAAGGTTACCTCTAAGTGGATTTAATATATATTTGCACCGATTGGTGCAGTGCGATATGGGTTATGTGGACTGAATGTATAAAAATATCTCAACTTTATTAATATTGGGCCACTGTCTGCTTAGCTGACTGCTATGTTAACAAATGTAGGTGGTTCTCATGATTGTTACAAGTGCTTTGCCGTGGAGAAGGCAATTACTCGTTTAATCTTCCTCACTTTTCCACTCATTGCAGTAATTCAGTTTATATTACTATAGTAAACATGGATTGTGTTGATTATGAGAACTAAATCTAGTCAGCTTTATGATTACTATTATTGTCAATCTATTGTCTGCGATACCATTCCCACTGACACTGTATATTTAATGCTGAAGTGCCTTTGATCACCAAGAGTGGAGATGAATTGCTACTGAGCTTTCCACTTTCGTAGCCCAGCACAGATGCAGCATCACGATTGAATGTACAGGTTGCATTATATGGTATTTTTATCCTCATCAACACAACAGGTCTGTGTATCTTACAATATTCTGTTAACACTCTGCATAACTGTTTAGAGTTGAGACCTATGTACTTTTTATTAGATGGCTTTAGTTTACTAAATATGAGAATGCAATTTATGTAGGATTCATAAAACTCTGTTCACTAGACCTTACTGAAATTGTTGATTAATTTCTAAGTTACACATTTGCAATACTTCATTTAATGTGAACGTATTTAGTGTGAAGTTGATCTGCAAGTAATCTTGATGAGAAAATGATATTAATAATAATAATAATTTACTTTATTCCAAAAACAGTACTTGTGATACAGAATGGAATTTTCAGCATTAATCACAATATTGCATCTAATTTCCTCAAATTATAAATAAAATTAATCACAAAGAAAATTTTTCTACATTTACAATACGGTTAATATAAAAATAAATAAATAAAAAATAAAAAACATGCAGCATATAAAATGGAAATAATAATAATGATAGCAGCTAAGGTAATGATAATAATAATAATAATACAAGTGAAAATTGCCGTCGGCTTGTTTCACACAGTATTGTCGATGCGGTATACGAATCCTTGCATGATTAAAAATATTGAATATGATGTTCTCTTTACATGATATGGTGAGGGGAAAAAACAAAAATTACAGCAGTCATAGAGATAAGTTGGTGTTTGCAGTTATGAAAGTGAGAACAAGAAGCAACAGGACCATAAATATAATAGAAATAATAAAAGTAAAACTTGAAGGTATATAAGGATGGATGGAGAAGATTGTTTATTTACTAGATGAAAAAAGGTTAGTCAATTCTTGCCTGACGCTATTTTCATCACATAAAATACGTGCCAAGTATGGTATCATAGAATTTTGATACTTAGACGTGCGAGCATACAGTTTTCTGAAGTTACTTCTCGTTCTACCTGAGGAGATGCAAGGTGAAAGCTGAGGGTGAAGTGGATGCTCCAAGTCAGACAAAATCCCTTTGGCAAATATACTGCACGAAGTCAAATGCCTATCGACAACGACGTTAACTATGTAGTCCACTGGGACACCACTCACTCTGCTGACAGTCTTCAGCATTCTATGAATTGTGACAAAGTCCCTTTTAAGCAAACCAGGAAAGAATAAGGGTGAACAATAAAGAAGAA